CTCTAAGATTTCTGATTGGTTTATTTTTATAGTTTCAATCTCTTTTGTGAAGAAACTCCCGATTTCATTGAATTGTCTATCTGTGTTTTCTTGTATTTCATTAAGCTTTTTTATGATGGCTATTTTGAATTCTCTGTCATTAAGGTTATACATTTCTGTGCTTTCCAGGTTGACTTCTGGGTGCTTGTCCTTTTCCTTTTGGTCTGGAGACTTAACATATTTTTGCATAGTGCCTGTCAGTATTGGCTTACTTTTCCTCATAGTGAAAATATATGGTCGCAGTTTCCTCTTGCTGCTGCTGGGGGGGGTCAAGGGCTGTGTATTCTGGCACTCTTGTCAGCCCCTGGCTGATCTGAGGTGTGGATGAGTGGAGGCTGCTGGAGGGGAAGCGTGGGAACAGCTGGAGCTGGAGCATGGGAACAGCTGGGACTGGAGTGCAGCTAGGCCGAAGCAGCTGGGGCTCAGGTGTGGGTGGGTTGAAGCAGCTGCAGCTGAAGTGCCACTGGGCTGAAGAAGCAGGAGCTGGAGCGCCACTGGGCGGAAGAAGCTGGAACTGGAGTGTGCTGGGCCAAAGAAGGAGGAGCTGGAGAACACTGCAGGGCCAAAGAACGTGGAACTGAAGTGTGGTGGGCCGAAGAAGCTGGAACTGGAGTGCGGTGGGCCGAAGTTGCTGGTGCCAAGTCAGCTGGAGCCTGAGCACAGGCCAAGCCAAAGCAGCTGGAGCTGGGGGTGGGGGGCGGTCAAGCTGATGGAGCTGGGGGCGGGGCACAGTCCAGCCGAAGGAGCTGGGGCAGTGGGATGGTGGAGCCGGGGAATCTGGGGCTGTGGCTTGGTCCAGCTGGAGCAGCTGGGGCTGTAGCGTGGTGAGGCCTGAGCTGCCACTGCCTCTGATGTAGGGGTGCAGCCTCGCCCTGCTGCTGGTCAGGCCCAGGCATCTGGGGTCTGCTGCCTCCTTCCACTTACTCTGGGGATTCCAGCACCTCACTCCTTTGGTGTACAGCTGCCTGGGCGCCTCAGACGTCCCCTGCATTGTGTGAATAGCTTCTGTTCGAATATGAATGTCCTTTTTGTTGTGTCTTAGAGGGGGAGAGTTCAACAGCCGACGCTCACTCCACCATGATGCTGACGTCCCCCACAGTGGATTTTTAAAAAAGAAAAAAAACAACTATATGCAAGCCACAGACAAGACCCCAAGACCCAACTATATAAAACGAAAGTAAATATACATATATTTATATAAATATATATTTAAATATTATAAGTAAATATATATATAAAGTAAATATATATATATAGAACGCTCTATCATTTCTTATAGTGCAGGTCTGCTGGTAGTGTATATGTGTGTATATATATATACACACATATATATATAAATTCCATGTAAACCATAGAAATAAGAAGGCTGAAGTGGCTCTATCAATATAGGATAAAACAGGTCTCAGGAAAAATGTATTATGAAAGATGAAGAGAGACATTTCATAACAACAAAAGTTAAATTCATCAGGAAGATATAACAATCAAAAATGTTTATGTGGCTTATAAAATACATCATGCAAATATTGACAGTATTAAAGAGAGAAGCAAATAACTCCAGAATCATGGATGGAGGTTTTAATAGCCTTTTCCCAGCATTTGCTAGAACAATTAAAAAAAGATCAGCGAAGACATATAAGATTGGTGCAACATTCCATTTTGACTTAATTTATATTTATAGGATACTATACCCACAATGACAGAAAACACATTCTTTTCAAGTGCACCTGGTATATTTTCCAGGTTCAACTACAAACTGCGCCATAAAATAAGTCTCATTAATTTAAAATAACTGAAATATACAGAGTATGTTATCTGATCATAATGGAATTAAATTATAAATCACTAACAATAAGATAACCAGAGAAACTTCAGATATTTGGAAATCAACCAACTCATAAATAAATCATAGGTCAAAGGAGAAATCAATTGAACTGAATTATAATGAAAATACAACTTATATAAATCTGTGGGATGTTGCTAAAGAAGTTCTTAGAGATAAATTTATAGTTTATGTTAGAAAAGAAGAAAAATTTAAAATTAACGATATAGTTCTCACCTTAAGAAATTAAAAAAAGATTAAATTAAACCCAAAGCAAACAGAAGAAAGGAAATAATAAAGATCAAAATTCATAAAAAGGAAATAAAAACTAGAGAAAATTAATGAACCAGAAGATAGTTCTTTGAAAAAAATCAATAAAATTTGTATGTCTCTAGCTGGAAAGAGGGAGAGAGAGAGAACACAAATTACAAACACCTGGAAAGAAAGAGGGGATATCACTACAGATCCTACAGACATAAAAAGGGAATATCATTAATAAAATGCCTGATATCAAGTATCGGTGATGATGTAGAGAAACTGGAACCTTCACATATTGCTGATAGGAATGCAAAACAGTACAGCCATTTTGGAAAACAGTATGACAATATCTTTATAAAATTAAATATGAACTTAGATAGGACCCGATAATCCTACTCCTAGGTATTTACCCAAGAGAAATAAAAATTATATCCACACAAAGACTTGCATGTGAATGTTCACAGCAGCATTACCATAACATCCTCAAACTGGAAACAACACAAGTGCCCATTAATTGGTGGATGGATCAATCCACTGTGGTATACCCACCCTGTGCAATACTACTCAACGATCAAAATGAAAAAAAATATGGATACATGCAACAACATGAATGAACCTCAAAAACATTATGCTAAGTGCAGGAAATCAAACACAAAAAAACTGGATACTTCTGTAAAAACCCAAAACCATAGTGTTAAAAGAGATCACTATTTCTGAGGCTAGTGATCATGGGAGGAGCTCAACTGCAAAGGGGCATAAGAAAATTTTTTAGGGTAATGGAACTGTTCTAAATCTTCATTGTGGTGGTGGTTAAAATGACTATATATGGGGCCGGCCCAGTGGCGTGGTGGTTGGGTTCGCACACTCTGCTTTGGCAGCACAGTGTTCGCAGGTTCAGATCCCCGGCACGGACCTACACACCACTTATCAAGCCATGCTGTGGCCGGCATCCCACATATAAAGCAGAGGAAGATGGGCACGGATGTTAGCCCAGGGCCAATCTTCCTCAGCAAAAAGAGAAAGATTGGCAACAGATGTTAGCTCAGGACTAATGGAAGGAAGGAAGGAAGGAAGGAAGAAAATGACTATATAATTACCAGAATTCATTAAACTGTAAAATTAAAATAAGTGAGTTTTATTGCATATAAATTACACCTCAATAAAGCTTGGAACAAAAAGAGTTCCTTCAAATCAACTAGTCCTAGACTGTCAGTAATTAGATACAACCTTAAAGGATATCTTGTCCAACTCCCCTGTTATGGGGTGAACAAAAAGATATTTTAGAGTCCCAACCCCTAGTATACCTCAGAATGTGACTCTATTTGGAAATAGAATCTTTACAGAGGTAATCAAATTAAAATGAGGTCATTATTATAAGGGTAAGTCTTAACCCAATATGACTGGCGTCCCCATGAAAAAAGGAAATCTGGACACAGAGACAGACACACAGGGAGAATGTGGCCATGTGACTGAAGTGACCCATCTATAAGCCAAGGGAAGCTTGAGGCCACCAGAAGCTAGGAGAGAGGCATGGAACAGTTCCTTCCCTAGAGCTTCACAGGGAGTGTGGCCCTGCCAGCACCTTGATTTTGGACTTCTGGCCTCCAGAACTGTGAGACAATAAATTTCTGTTGTTTTAAGCCACTCAGTTTGCAGCACTTTGTTTTGGCAGCCCCAGGAACCAGCACACTCCCACTCATTTGATATTAACCATGTTGACCACACTAATCATCACATTTGTCCAATTTCCCAAGGGATCTCTCTGAGCTGAGCACAAACCCCCTAAACAGTATGTATATATATATACACACACACACACATATAATTGCCCCAAAGAAGCAAGTTTTTTTCTTCTAAGTTGGCTAGTAGATGCCAACTTCTTTTGGTATTGTTAGGCCAGGGAAAGAGTCACCTGGAAGTAATTTCTAAAACCCCTCATCATCAGAAACATTTTATAAATATAAAATAGATCATCTAAACTGAACTGATTCGCTGTATTTAAGATGCACATGCCCCTATTCCTTCACTTTAAATACTCAAAATAGGCTGGCAGGAAACCCAAGAAATAGGTGCCCACCATGTTCTCAATTTCAAAAAACAGCATGGCACAGTCAATAAAGACATACCTGACCACAAATGAAATATGAATGGGTCCACCTTCCCACTGGCTGCTGCCAGCCTTCCATGCAAAGTTACTAAGTGAAATTGTAAGAAATTGCCGATTTTACTGAATCCCCTTGAAGTTAAGACTTGGAAAAATTTTGTATTGGTGAACATATAAAGTCCTCTCCACATTTAGGAATGTTGCCTTCAGTTTACCATGAGAGGTGTTTTTTGGTCTCTCTCCCCCTCCTACTTCCTTCCCCCTCTGAAGATTATAATTATTCAAAATCATTAACATTGAACGTTTAGCAGCCACTAAATATAGGGCTGGCATATGCAGTCAACCTACCTCTTGTGTTGAAGGCAGGGCTCCCTCACAGGTGACACAGTATTTCAGGTGAGCAGGATTCCCTGTGCCACAGGTGCGGCAAATTACTTTCTCCTTGAAAACAAAGAATAAGAATTACATGTTCCTCTGAGTGAACACGGTGTAAAGAAACCATCAGGCAGTCTTCTCAGTCAATCAATCAGCTGTAGACCCTATTTTAATACCCAGACCCTGAAATTTTATTGGTTTAGGAATTACTACAACATAAACAGTGTCATACAAATAAACAGTTTTAAAAGAAACAAAACTCAAAATTAACAAACTGAAAAAGAGTATTCATTGGGCCTTGGGAAGGCAAATTGAGTATTTTGCACTGATTATGTGTGAGTTATTATTTTTTTCAGTGTGGGAAACATGATAATCAGTAGCTCTCCATCTCCTGGCTTGAACAATAAACAGAAAGGTCTTGGACCTTTAAGCAAAAGCTTATCTATGTGTTTACAAGTAACCTAGTTCTTGGACTGGGGTTTACCACATGGTGCTTTATGTTAAATATGAATTTAAGTTTGCTCCGTAGTTTCTCACTTAGAAAAAACAACAACAAGAGAAAAAGAAATGAGGGTTAAAATAGTCTAACTAGAGTTCAGCTATCAGAGGTTTGCTACCATCTGTTTAGTCACCGGAGTATTCTTCACTATCGGGATACTATCTTCTTCAACTGTCAATGACCAGTGATACTGAAATGTCCCTTTCTACTCCAGTACCTGTGTTCCCCGGGTGTCCTGAAACAGAAAAAGTGTATTCTGAAGCTGGAAGAGGTAAAGAGGATGATCAGGAAAAAGAAAGCCCACCTCCTGGGATTTCAGTTCCAATGCCACTAGGTAGGATATGAAGTCCCTGGCCTTTCCAAGGCTAGTTAACCCCACTCTAGGAGAAGACTCCAAGGTCTTCCTAGGAACCTGAGCCAACTCAGTAAACCACAGGTCCCAACCCAGAGAATTCCTAAAGTGTAGAGGCTGACTGACTGCTACTCAAAACGGCATTGAATCACAGACTTGCTTTCAGTGGGTCCTGACACTCCCTGGTTCTAACTTTCTTCAAAGTTGCTTCAAGTCTCCATAGCATAATCTGCAATCGCCAGAGTGTTTCTGCGAGATTTAGGGCTGTGATCTTCATGAAGATGTTGCCTCAGAAAAGATCTGGTGAAACCCATTGAGAAGTGAAACAAATTTCTTGTCCCTGTGTTAAAAAATACTGAGATCAAACAAAAATAATCTAGCTGTTTGCTGCAGGAAATACTTGCTCTAGAAAGAGAAGACTGTAAACCAAGTAAAACTGCTTACTGAAATAGCTTACCTGAAGCCCCTCAACTTGCAGGACCCACAATCCAAAACTTGTAGGTCCTCACATACTTACCCTTTGTGCTCGCACACGTCTGTGTGTGTGTGTGTGCTGAGAGCATCTGAAATCTACACTTAGCAAATTCCCAGGATACAAAGGGGGATACGTTACTTAGCTCAACTGTAGTAATCATTTTACTATGTATTTGTATATCGAAACATCATCACCTTAAATGTATAAAATTTTTATTTAAATAATTTTTTTAACCTAGCATGTCATAACTTTGCCCAATCCAAACAAATTCTGCCCAATCCCAACTCTGCCTTGCAAAACTCTCATTTTAAAATTGTTTAATTAATAAACTATTTTTCAGAGCAGTTTTAGGTTCACATCAAAACTGAGCAGAAATTACAAGGAGTTCCCATATACTCCCTTATCCCCCGACACACACAACCTCCCCCAGTATTGATGTCCCACACCAAAGTGGTACATTTGTTACAGCCAATGAACCGACACTGACACATCATTATCACTCAAAACCCATAGTTTACCTTAGGGTTCACTCTTGTCAAATTCTCTTTAAAATCACCCAACTGCAGCACTAAAACCCTATAAATATCTTTCCCTGTCTTCTCTTCTAAGATATACCAAGACAGTCAAAGTGGTGGTCTACCCTACCGCATCAGGTCCAACCTTGGTTGGATCTAGAGGTTTTTGTAGTGGCTTTTTGACAGCATCCCATGGCTCACTTCCTTGAAGAACAGTGACCATGACTCACAGATAGAAATAATTTTATATCATAACCACTACACTCATAGATTCATATATGTTCATAGGGATAATTTGGGACTGAGGCCACCATCAGACTGCCTTAATGAGGATGCTAAACATCTATGACAAGTACTTTATTTAAAAAAAGTCAATACCCTCATTTGCCCTCTCATCAGCAGTATTTGCAACATACCTAGTTGGATGGTTCCAAGCAATTTAGTGGACTCAAATTAGTTACTTGGGTAAAATTTTCCTTACAAAGTAGTTGGAAGATGAGAGCAAATTTCTAATCTCCCAAATGATAAGCTTTAATTGAAAAAATGAAATGAGAAAGAATGTTGGAAACAAACTAGTAGGTCATTGCAGACTTAATGTCAAAGTTGATTTTGTGAGATGCCAAGCTGAAGTTCTGCCTGATGTTGAGCTGTGGGTACACTGGCTTTAGCTCCAAATCATTGTGCGCGAGACAGGGGTCTCACAGGAGCTAACTGTGCCCCAGTTGTGTGAGTCATCCGATCTTTTCCAGAGCAATGACTTCAAGAGGATCTCAGCCCTAAGCCTCCCAGATTCTAGGAATCCCAAATGTGACGGGAGTCCTGGAGGTATTCTGTATATTGCTAGTTAAATCCCAAAACTGAAGATCTCTTGCTAAACGAGAGTTCATGTGTTCTGGTCAAAGCGGAGATGCTAACATTAGTTTTCAGCTTTAGAAAATAATCAATGGGATGCATTTGTTTAAGAAACAAAACAAAACCTAAATGTGTGAATACATACGCACATGTTTCTGTGCCTCTAGAAAAATACAAAGGACACTTACTAAGCTACTATCATTGGTTATCTAAGCAGGATAGAAATAGAGGTGAGGTGGGGAAATTAGGCACTTCTTTGTATATCTTTGGACTATTTCATTCATTACAAAAAATTAAAGAACTTAAAAAAGTGTAAAATCCTCTCTTATTCTGAAATATGGGCGCCTTTACCAGAGGATAAAGGGAGAAACTTCTGCTGTTCTATCTTCTAATGCTGGCAATAAAAAAAATACCTACTGGAGAAGAATTCCTCAGCGTTGACAAGGCCTTTAAATCAACAGAAGATAAGCCTGCCACAGCGTTTGGGTCTGTCTTCACCATAGCAGGATGGTACTTTTGCACCATGTGGAGTGAGATGGAGACCAACATAGAAACGGGAAGGGGAGTCGTCAACAGGCCTTTCTGGTGCCTTGGGGAAGGGAAGGCTGCTGGCTCCCGTGAGCAGTTTACAAAGGTATTCCCACTGACCTCAGAGGTGGCTCATTGGGCGAAAATGTATCTAAAAGTCTATCACCCTTATAACACCTGGGAAAGCCACTGGGATGAAGATTCTTGGCCCAGGGTTTCCAAACAGATGTCCTTCTGTGAGTAGAAAAAGCAATACTGCTTGATTGCCCAGCCATAAAAACCAGCCATTTCCCTCCAGGATCACGTTACGGTGATAAAAGTCTCTCTAAAAATCAAACCTGATTAAAACCTGTCCCTGCTTTCCACACCTCAGGGCCCACCAGGAAAAATCTGAGCTGCTAAGTATGGCAGAGAAGGTGCCATCTCCCACAACCCACAGCTCCCCCAGCACTTCCGTAGCTCAGCAAAACCAAACTTCTTGCAAAGTTTTGAAGCACACCTTGCAATTTCCAGTCTCTGTGTGTCTTCCTGGAATGCCCCTCTCCCCACCTCATACTGAAACACACAGCCATGAGCCACTTCTCTGTCTCCCCCTTTCCCATCCGGCAAATGCTTGTGCGACTCACAATACTCGCTCAGATGACATCCCCTCTTCGAAGCTATCCCTGGCTCTGGTCCTTGATAAGAGTTAATAAATTCCTCCTCTGTGCCCGTGTCCCACCACAACCACCATGTTCACCACAGCAAGCAGCGCCAGGTCACTGGATCCAAGCACTGGCGTAGTGGGTCTAAGCCCAGGGAATGCAGTGTGCAGAGCCTTAGAGCGTGGTCCAGGAAACAGTATGCTGGGAAAAGTCACACCAAAAGGTGTCTTTGAAAAAGCCCCTCAGCACCTGAGAGCTCACACTGGAGGTGAAAGGAACCCAGAGAAATTGGGTGAAGTTGAAGGAATGTTCATGGCCACACCCTGGTGAGGGATGCCAGCTGCCTGGGGCAAGGCCCAAATGCCTGTGACCACTGGAGGCCTGTGTGAAGACATCACTCCTTCCTCAGATCCCTTCCCCCAATCCTCCCTGTTCAAGGGCCCCTAAAGCGGGTGTCCAGTGACTGTTCCTCAGGCTCACACCACTCCCTGTGCCATCCTGGTATTGCTGGGAGTTTAGACTTCTTCCAGTATACTCTTAGGGTACAGAATATACAGTGTATGTGGTTAAGTTTCCAACCAAAAAAAGGAGAGAGTCAAGAGTGAGTCTACTGTTTTGGTAAAAGACACACAATTAAATGCTTAATTATTAATAGTATAAGATATACACTTGTGGAAGATAGAGTGATAGTAAATCATAACAATCCAATACTAAAACAAACAAAACACCAGGGAAAAACACGGTGCCAATAAAAATGATCATGAGATTCTCACTTGTGGAGAAAATTATAAAGGCAATACCCTAAATCATTATTTCCTATGATCTTGAGAAAATTAATGTTTCAGAGATCCCTCTACAGAAGCAGTACCAATTCCAGGAATATTTAGCTAACATGAATCTTGTTTACTCAGTAATTTCAAAGTTCATAAATCCCTTTGAAAACTCAACATCAGAAGTCAAACAGGCTCGATTTTCTAAATTTCATCTTTGAGTTCTTAGTTGGTTTCCTCATTAGAACGTATATGTTCTGACTCTGGCCCATCAATAGAGTGGAAATAAGTTGCAAGTGATCATCTCTCTCTCTCATAAAAATTATACTTTAAAAAAGGATCACTCCTAGATTTAATCCTACTTATCACTATAGAAGTCCTGTGTTTATCCTCAATATAGGATCCACAAATTGAAGAAAAAAATTACTTACTTATTATACCTTTGCACCTCCTTGCCTTTCCACAAAATGGGAAGAACTCTGCATTTCAAATACTGAAGGTGGCATGATATATATTGAACTCGGCTCACAGCTAACACTTACCCCTATTCCTTCTGTTTTGAAAAGTTCAGAGTTTTAAATGACATTGTCTTCAAACATCCTGGGTAATGTATTTGTAAGAATAGGTTCTGCTGTGATTGACAGAACAGCCAAAATAACAGTGATGTAAACAAGAAAGAAGTTGATTTCTCTCTCTCATGTATAAGAAATCTGGAGACAGGTTTCCAAGGCTATATGGTGGCTTCCTGCAGTAACTTTTAAAGTTTCTTAAGATTGAAAATAGTCATATAACAAAAGATTAGTAAATTTTCATCTACTTGACTTTGGCCCAGCCAGGTCTTCAAAATCTCATTTCTGTAGGCTTACTCACTTCCTAGGACACTTTAGAACATTTCACAATGAAGGGGAGCTTGGAGATGGAAGAAAAAGTGGACTGACTTATCTTTTCTGTCATTAAACTTCAATACATTTTGCCCACATAGAATCTACAAAGTCATTTTAGGAGTGTTACAGTTCTACTTGTACCTTAAGTCCACACATTTCCCTTTTTGCTAAAAATTCTTGCTTTTTTTAGTCCCCCAAATTCTCTTTATTAAATCTATTTTATGAGCTAGTGACCTTTACTTGAGATTAAAGAGGAGGTGAATGGGACTGTAAATTGAAACATGGAGAAAAGATACAACTGTATGTTCAATGATTCTACCAAAAAAACCCCTTTCACGGTATGATATCATTTGTCTAGAAAAATTTTTTTTTTTGGTGAGGAAGATCAGCCCTGAGCTAACATCCATGCCAATCCTTCTCTTTTTGCTGAGGAAGACCAGCCCTCAGCTAACATCTATTGCCAATCCTCCTCTTTTTTTTCCCTTTTTCTCCCCAAAGCCCCAGTAGATAGTTGTATATCATAGTTGCACATCCTTCTAGTTGCTGTATGTGGGACACTGCCTCAGCATGGCCGGACAAGCAGTGCGTCGATGCGTGCCCAGGATCCGAACCCGGGCCACCAGTAGCGGAGCGTGCGCACTTAACTGCTAAGCCACGGGGCCGGCCCCGAAAATTTTTTTTTTTTTTTGAGGAACATCAGCCCTGTGCTAACATCTGCCAATCCTCCTCTTTTTTTTTCTGCTGAGCAAGACTGGCCCTGGGCTAACATCCATGACCATTTTCCTCCACTTTATATGGGACGCCGCCACAGCATGGCTTGCCAAGCAGTGCATCATTGCACGCCCAGGATCCAAACCAGCGAACTCCAGGCCACTGCAGCGGAGTGTGCGCACTTAAGCGCTTGCGCCACCGGGCCGGACCCCAGAAAATTTTTTCGAATATATGCAATGACACTTAACTTTTTCATCCATGTGACTAGTTCTAATCATTCTTTTCTACATAATAAGGATTCAAAATCAAATAAAGCAAATGAAAGCATGAAGCCACTTTAAGGACAAGATTAAAAGTCAATATTAATTGCAACATTCAAGTTTAAATATATAAAGTAAAAAATTGTCTAAGTTAGCTGTAGTGCAATTTGTCCTCCAAATCCATGTTCAGGGAACACATTTCTATGTATCCCTCTTAACATTATAGACCCTACTGGCAAGTTACAACTCTTGGGCAGCATATCTTTGCAAAAGTTAAAGTGGATTCTGTTCACAGATATTAGAGTTTGCCAATTGTTAGCCAATTCCATCAGCTGAAGAAAAACATCTAATTGTTCAAACATTACTTTCTATATATTTTATTCTGGTTTTCACAGAATCACATTTCATTACCTTCAAGCGGAGGCTGGCCTGTGGCTGCAGCTGTAGAGTAAGAGGGGCCTCACACACCACACAGATGGGAGTGTTCATGGGCACCATGCTTCCACATTCTGCACATAAGCCCATCTGCACAAAGAAAGAGGTCAAGTTTGTCTTGGAATGCAAAAACTGAAAGTATAAGTAGATTTTAGAATGTAAAGTTTAATTTGCTTTTATAAATAACTTTTTAAAGTAATTACCTTTACTCTTATTTTTTCCTATTAAGAGTAAAAATATGTTATTGTAGAAAATACAGGTGTGTAAAAGAAAAGAAAAAATATCTTATAGCATGATGGAGTGAGGTAGTCAACAAATCTCTCCAAAAAGCAATTATGTAGTGAATAAAACTGTCAAAAACAATCATTTCAGACTCTGAAAGTCACCAAAGGCAGACAAGAAGCTATAAAGTTACTGAAAAGTACTGAACTTCAGATAGGAACACTACAAGTCTGTGTAGTTCTTATATTGTGCTGCTCCCATCATTCTCTAGTTCTATCAGCATGGTAACTCCACCAGGGCAAGGCAGGCTATGAAAACCAGCAGCTTTGTGGCTGCTGATGGGCAGGGCTCACTTGATCTGAAGCACTGCTTCAGATGTGATGATCTCAGTGGCAAGCAAACAGGGAGTGCCAGTGGCTCCACTAGCCTGAGATCATGTTCTTGGTTTGGGGCAATCAATGGACGAGCAAACTAGCCAGGGATTTAACAGGGACTTCCAGAAGGCAAGTCAACTCTAGGGGGCTTGAAAAGGTCTCCATATAATCTTAGCTGACTGGAGGCTATATGCATGTGCAGCATAAACCAGAGTGGGCCCAAGCTACCCACACATCACTGGCTGATGAACACCGCACATGGAAATGAAAGAGAGCTCAGCATAGAGCAAAAGCTGGGACAGACTTGAAAACAGCCTGAAGTTTAAATGTTCTGCCAAGCCCACACATAGATCTATCAGCAGAGAGTGGAAGCCTTACTGGATCAAGGTGTTTGAGCACAACTTCTGGCCAATCTTCAGTTGAACACTAAGCTATGCAGACCCAAGGGTGATCTCATGCTTAAAAATAAAACAAGAAAAAAAAACTGACATCAGTGGCCACACATTGCAGGGGAGATAGACATGAAAGATTTAATCCAAGTAAACAAAAAACAAAACAACAACTCTAGTAGAAAAATCAGAATCCAGAGTTGTTACAATATATTATCTAAAATGTTCAGAATTAAAGGAAAAATTATGAGACATGAAAAAATAAGAAAGTGTGATCCATACTAAGGGAAAAACATAGTCAATAGAAATCATCTTGGAGTATCTCCAGAAGTTGGATTTAGTAGACAAAGATTTCAATACTGCTATTCTAAAAATGTTCAAAAAACTAAAGGAAACTATGTTTAAAAAAATTTTTTAAGTATGATGACCAATGACCTGAAAAATAGGGAATCTCAATAAAGATACAAAAATTATAAAACATGAACCAAATCAAAACCTGGAATTGAAAAGTAAAATAATTGAAATGTAAAAAAAAACTGCTAGAGGGACTCAATAACACATTGGAGATGACAGAAGGAAGAATCAGTGAACTTGAATATAGTTCAATAGAAATTTTCCAATCTGAAGAACAGAGAAAAAAGATTGAAGAAAATAAACAGACCATCAAAGACCTGTGGAGCAACAGCAAAAATATCAACATATGTGTAATGGGAGTCCCGGAAGGGGAAGAGAGAGAGAAAGAGGCAGAAAAAGAATTTGAATAAATAATGGCCAAAAACTTCCCACATTTGAAGAAAAGTATTAATCTACAAATTCAATAAACTCAATAAATCCAAAGAAAGATAAACACAAAGAGATCCACACTTAGACAAATTATAGGCACACTGTTAAATGTCAGAGACAAAGAAAATCTTGAAAGTAGCAAGAGAAAAAAACTACTTATAACATACATCAAAAACCATGGCGGCCAGAAGGCAATAGAATGCCACATTCAAAGGCCTGAAATTAAAAACAACTGTCAAACAAGAATTCTATATCCAGTAAAACTATCCTTCAAAAGTGAAGGTAAGGGCCGGCCCCATGGCTTAGCAGTTGGGTGCGCGTGCTCCGCTACTGGTGACCCGGGTTCGGATCCCAGGCGCGCACTGACACACCGCTTCTCCGGCCATACTGAGGCCACGTCCCACATACAGCAACTAGAAGGATGTGCAACTATGACATACAACTATCTACTGGGGCTTTGGGGGGAAAAAAAAAAGGAGGAGGATTGGCAATAGATGTTAGCTCAGAGCCGGTCTTCCTCAGAAAAAAAAAAGAAGAGGATTAGCATGGATGTTAGCTCAGGGCTGATCTTCCTCACAAAAGTGAAGGTAAAATGAACACTCTCAGACAAACAGAGAGAAACTGCTAGCGGACATGCCTTTAGTAAAGGAAGTCTTTCAGGCTGAAAATAAGTGATACTAGATGATAACGTGAGTTCATAGGAAAGAAATGAAAAAAATGAGAGAAGAGATATAATAAATATGTGGGTTAATACAAATGACTCCATAAACATTTTTTTCTCATCTTGGAATGACATAAGATTGTTTAACACTGTATTTTCAGTTTATAACATATATAGATGTAATATGTATGACAATATATAAAAGATAAATATGGAGGAAAAGGAGATATATTAGAGCAAAATTTCTGTATTTTACTGGATTTAAGTTAAATTATTCTGAAATAAACTGTGATAAATTAAGGTGCGTATTGTACTCCCTAGAGCACCATTATAAAACTTTAAAAAATTGTAAAAAAAAAAATTGTAAAAAAATTGTAAAAAAAAAAAAAAAGTCAACATAAGAGTTAAAATGGCACACTAAAAATTACTTATTTTACAAAAAAGAAGGCAGCAAAGGAAGAACAGAGGAACAAAGATGACATAAGACAAATAGAAAGTCAAAAATAAAATGGCATATGTAAATCCAACCATATCAATAACGACATTAAATGTGAATAGACTTAACACTACATTCAAAAGGCAGATACTGTCACCCTGGGTAAAAAGGAAGACCCAACTATATGATGTCTATTAGAGACACACCCTAGATTCTAAGATATAAGTAGGTTGAAAGTAAAAGTATAGAAAAAGATATACAGATGGTCCCCAAGTTATGATGGTCTTACTTAAAATTTTTCGACTTTACAATGGCGCGAAAGCAATACGCATAGAAACTGTACTTCAAATTTTGAATTTTGATCTTTTCCCAGGCTAGGAATATGCAGTACAATTCTCTCTAGTGATGCTGGGCAGTGGCAGTGAGCTGCAGCTCCCAGTCAGCCATGTGATCACAAGGATAAACAACCGACACGCTTAACAACCATTCTGTACCATACAACATTCTGCTTTTCACTTTTAGTAGAGTATTCAATAAACTACATAAGATATTCAACACTTTATTATAAAATATGCTTTGTGTTAGATGATTTTGCCCAACTGTAGGCTAATGTAAGTATTCTGAGCACGTTTAAGGTTGGCTAGGCTAAGCTATGATGTTCAGTAGGTTAGGTGTACTAAATGCATTTTCAACTTATATTTTCAACTTACAAATGGGATTATCAGGACATAACCCCATCAGAACACCATGACCAGATTCTGATTACTGATATGTCACTGCTGCCCCTTTGCAGCAGATGTGCCCATCTTGTCTTGGCTGTTAAGTGCTGCCACCTGACCTCTGCTACTCTGGAATCCTATTAGCCCCACTGAAATCAGGGAGCCCATCTCCATGGCAGCATCCCCCCCAATCATGTCTGGTCCACAAAGGAGAGCAGCCACAGAACTTTGCAAGGATGCAGGTGCTCCTGTCACTAACGTATTCCTCAATGACTCAGTGAAGGAAATGTCTTCTGGGCCTTCTTGTGAAACATAGGTGAGAGCTGGGGAGGTACAGGACACACATGTTACACCTACTCCAACATTCCTATCTTAATCCACATGATGCCAGGGAAGTTCTGGTAACTCAATCTCACTAAATGTAGGCCAATATTGAGTCCAAGTTTTAGTCAGCCAACCAAAAAAGCAGTTAGAGCCACCTCCAGCTGTATTAGCTAATACATTAAATCCAGAATCTACAGAAGATGCATGCATCTCAGTGAATTTGGCCCAATTTAGTGTTATATTCTGCTCTCACCTAAAATCCACTCCCACACCTGTTCCCCAAGATTCTGCCAATATATATTAGCAAAATTGTGTTCTTCTTTTCGCGTGTAAGCTATTTTCTCCTGGATCACAGTGTGCATCTGGCCCTCTACAGAGGCTGGGATTGGACCATAGTAATGCTACAGGGTGGTTGCAGTGAGTCTTGAGAATAAGCATCCTCTTTCAAGGACACTGCCTCAGGTGAGGTTACCACAGAGATTTCAAGCAAAGGAAGGCTAGTATCCTCAGACAGGAGGGCAAGCTACATCCTCCAGCAAGGAGGCCCAGAGAGACTTAGGGGTTCAAGATTGTCAGGTCTAACCCAACACCTCCATTCCAAGTTTCAGGATCCTCTCTTTCCCAATTAATGCCCTAAGTTTCACGTAAGAAACTTGGTGATAAAGTGAATTAAGGCAATGTTGTAACTCATCAACATATACAATTAAATTTTGTGTTTGATTTCAGCAATATAACCCTGGAGCTACAAGACATAGATTCTTTTAGGGCTGTCATGGGAGTTCTCTGGTTCTCAGACTGTGACTTAAAGGTCCTGAGCTAGTCGTTTTCTTTCTGTAAATGCTCCCATGTACTCAGGAGAATCCATCCACTCATCATCACTGCCATAATAGTCAAGTGCAGCAGCCATCTGGCCACTCAAGACACTTGCTTCAGCTGGCACTTCATCACTATCAGCCACATGTGATAGCTTGATTAACTGTGATGCCACTTCATGCTATGGATGACTAGCACACTGTTTCCCATTGGCAAGGAGCTCAGTACTGTTCATGAGCAAAGAGAAGGGTCAAATCACTTCCAAAATCTCATCTTTGCAGGTCTATTTCCTGGGGCCACTCCTGGTACCAATTCTGTATCAGTCAGAGTCCAGCCAGGAGACAGAAATGACACAGTAATGTGAACAGAGAAAGTTTAATATAAATAATCAACTTGTAACAGAGGATTAACTACTAACGGGTAAAGCAAACTCTAAATACAAGAATATCCAATACAGGGAGGATCCACCACCTCTATGGCTGAGGCAGAGAACCCAAAAAGTATAGAATTTAGAACAGGCATTTACTCCCCCAAGGCAGAAATCAGACTTCATTGAATTGGGTGTGGCAATTGATTGGCTGGCAAAGAGGTTCACTGGGGTGACACAGACCAGAGCTGGCAAGCAAAAAGCTGCCCACTAAGGTCCAGTGAAACTGGTTAGGAAATCTCCTTCTGGGGAGCTGGCAGAATATGCTGGGAAGCCATGTATAGGGATGCTGCTGAAACTTGCTGGGAAACTGCCCACTGGGATGCCTGAGAGACTATCTGGAAGCTGGCTGGGGTGCCAGTGGAACTCACTGAGAAGCTGTTCATAGAATGCCACTGAAATTCACTGGGGTTCAGCACAACTAGGTTCCTGCAAGTTAGCTGAGCACCATCAGAGCAAAAAGACAGGAAAGCATACCAGAATCAGAAAAAGAAGCCAAATTCCTTCTCCTACAGCATCTCTCCAGCAGCAATGTCCCTCTAGTGACAAAAATTAACAAGAAGCCAGCTGGCAAAGGGGAACTGTTTAAAGAATCCAGCTCCAGTACCACAAGGCAGGGCAATGAAGGATGGATTTGGAGCCGAGGCACACCTCTGCAGTTCTCTAATGAGACTCTGACTGTCTCGGGTCTAGGAGTAGGATCCACCTCTTTGAATCCCAGAAACCCAGCTGAGAGCAGACACAATAAATAATCAATAAATAGTTTAAATTGTAAAGGTGTTTATACCTTATAGCATATTAATAAATATAATTTTGGGGGCAGTATAGATGTTTCAAAGTTCATCATTTTAAATATTTCTAATCTCTGATAACCTTTTCTCCCTGAAAAAACAAAGTTCTGAAAATCTGTTTTCTGAAAAAATAACGTTGACACTGCTCCAACAAATATAAGCAGGGAAAATTCAAACCAATGGGACATGTTCATATTTTATTTGCTGTGTTTCTTCTTTAAGGAGTTCAAAATATATCATAGAAGTAAACTTCTACAACAATCTTGAGCAATAAATTGTAGGAAATTTTTTTAAAGATATCCATTTAGTATCTGACCCCTTGCTTGAAGGCATAACTCAATTCTAAAACTCTGGACTTTGAACACACTGAATTACTGATTTTTCTTACTGGCTATCTTTTTTAAATGATCATTTTTCATTCAACATCACAGATTCTTTTATTTCATTCTGTAAACTCTAGTCTAAAAAGAAACAAAAACAAAGTGTCAAGTGTATAAAAGATCAACACATTTTGATGAAAGTTTTGATTTTTACTAAGCCGAGTATGTTTTCTAACAAACTACAAAATTTAGTAGTAGGGTAAAATCAATTATAATCTACACCTAATCAGCCAAAGCTTTTTAATTTAGATATACTGATCAATCTATAACTTAGACAAATAGCTTTTTTGGACAGAATGATGTATCTTACGGATAAACAGACTTATAATTAGTACTTCCCTCCATTTATTTCTAGAATATATTCCCTTATTGTACCCAGGTTATGAACAGAAATATCATATGAGTAGGAAATATGTATTTATCCATGCATGCATCATTGAAAAAACAAAATTTCAGACACTTTCTGACCCTGTGCTTCTGCAAGGCCACATAAAATAAATGGCATTGCAAACAAGTATTTCCATTCCAAAGTAGGAGTCTGGATAGTAAGGGACTAGTCTGCCAGCGAGTTTTCCAACAAGTATTTATGCTTGTGGTTCAGCTATGCCAGATACTGTGGTACTGCCGCAAATAAAGATCAGATAAACCAATGAAAGAAGCTTTTAAGGATTCTGCTGCTCACCTGAGCTCCTTCTGGGGGTGGAAGACGACAGCCAAATATGGGTGGGACAGGAGAGCCACATTCTTGACAGAAGCGAGCAAAGGGATCAGATGGGCGAGGGGCAAGACAGTGGGCACACCTACAACAAAAGAGGTTCCCGATTGGCCATGTTCTGATAGGTTCACATTAAGAAGTCAGGTGAAAATCTAAAAGTGTCCAAACACTTTTAAAAATAAAATAAAGGGGCCGGCCCAGTGGCACAAGCAGTTAGGTGCGCGTGCTCCGCTGCGGCAGCCCGGGGTTTGCCAGTTCGGAACCCGGGTGCGCACCAGCGCACTGCTTGTCGAGCCATGCTGTGGCGGCATCCCATGTAGAGTGGAGGAAGATGGGCACGGATGTTAGCTCAGGAACAATCTTCCTCAGCAAAACAAAAAAAAAGAAAGAAAGGAAGGAAGAGGAGGATTGGCATCAGATGTTAGCTCAGGGCTGATCTTCCTCACAAAAAAATAAAATAAAATAAAATACAAAACAAAAAAAAAGCAGATGACTCTCAAAGGCTATGGAACAAGTTCAACATAGGAGCTGCTTCTCTAGTCATTTTATTACAAAGTGGCCATAGCGCTGGAACCACTGGTGCCCTTTACCTGTAGGCCAGGTCCATCTCACTTCCTGACTGCGGCAGACATTTATCAGCAGCCTTGATCCCACTTCTTAGTGGGGCTCTGGCTTGTCCCATCACACTGGATTTGGCATGCATGAGGCTGAGCCCTGGGAATTGCAGTAATGTCAACAGGGCATACTTCTGACTTCCTACCTGATCACTGATCCCAGTCTGAGTGACAAGTCTTCTTCCCTGGCACTCTGGAAGGTCACTATCAGTCAAGCCCTGCCTTTGTCTTCACTCACCTGGTTAGAGTCCCAAGGCCCTGCCCCAGCAACATCTGGCCCCATTTCTTGAGCAGCTAGATCCCATCATTTAGCCCTCACCCACCTACCTGGGTTCGGGATATCAGCCAAAGTGAAAGGATTCTTGGAACTGGGCTTCCCTGTGAAAAACATTGCGACTGTCATGCCTTTCCAAGCAGGTTGGGTCCCTGATCCTATGATCTACCTATCTGAACTGCTCCTCAGCATCTATGATGTTTGGATACTGTCCACTGGATTAAAGAGTTTCTACCATGGCGTCTCAACAATCGCCAGCCTTTGTAGTTGAGTCCACTTCCCACACTCTTTATTCCATTTAGTCACTCCTCACTGTACCATGTTACCAAGATTTCAGCATGTCGCCTGCCTTGCTTGGCCCACCAGGGCAACAAGACTCCTCTTTCCTATCCCCAAAGAACATGAAGTGTTGCTCAACAGTCCACGGAGTAACCTGAATATCTCATTGCTCTTATCTTTTCACTCATTCAACAAACCCCTGAGAATCTACTAAGTGTCAGCTCTGAGGACATTAGAGGATGAAAAGAGACTTGGTACCAACCCTGGAAGAGCTCAGATCAATGGGAGAAAAACATCTTGCAATACACCATGATAAACATTAAGACAGAGGTTTTCAAAATGTGCTATGAACATCAAAGGAAGGCAAAGGATAGGTAAACTTCAGAAAAGACATGACATTTAAGCTGAATATTAAAGGATGAATAAGAGTTTGCCAGAGAGAGAAGGGGTAGAGGTATTCAACTTACGGAAAACAGTAGGTAAAGTGGGTTTTTTTGTTGTTTTTTTTTTATAATTTTTATTTATTTATTTTTTCCCCCAAAGCCCCAGTAGATAGTTGTATGTCATAGCTGCACATCCTTCTAGTTGCTGTATGTGGGACACGGCCTCAGCATGGCCGGAGAAGTGGTGCCTTGGTGCGCGCCCGGGATCCAAACCGGGGCCGCCAGCAGCGGAGTGTGCGCATTTAACCGCTAAGCCATGGGGCCGGCCTGGTAAAGTGGTTTGAAGCAAGTCTTTTGGGGGGATTCAAAGCAGCTTGAGGGACTTTTACTTCCAGGTAAGATAAGTGAAAGGGGCCACATTTACTCTCTCACCTGAAACAATAACAAAAACAACAACAACAAAAACACACAAAGAAATATATAAAACAATAGTTTTCAGACATTGGATAAGTGGCAGGGCAGGACAGTGAACAATGATAAAGAGGAAATAACCAACACGAACCATATGATTGTTCCAGCTTATTGCCAGAAGAGAGGTCTCAAGGTATAGAGAGGAGAACCCCTGAATTGATGACATAGAGCTAGGAGTCTGAGGAGGTCAAGGCAGCTAGAGTTTTGAAGAAAGAATACTGAAGAAGAGCTGAACAGAGCTTCAGAAACTTGCAGAGGGTCACCCTCAAGTCTTCAACATGATGTACACGTGTGTGAAAAAACTACTCAAGGCCAGAGGAAAAAAAGCACCAAAAGGGTAGAGAGGAAACCATACCCAGGGCTCACACAGGTCTGGGAAATTCATGTTCACATGAGCCAAAGTGTAAAAACTTTATACGTAACGGAGCATTGGGGAAGTACTCAGCAGAGTAACTTTTTTAGTAGTAAGGAAAATGTAGCACTAGACTGAACGCTGCTCTTGTGCCATCTACAAAAGCTTAAAAGGAACACTGAAAGAATCAAACTGTTTACAAGTAACTTCCAAGTAACTTTGTTCTGGAACAAAGTGCAAGAATCATTACAGGAATACAAAAGTACCCAAGACCCAACAGGATAAAATTCATAATGCCTAGCAGTCAATAAAAAATTACCAGGCAGGCAAAGAAACAGAAAATTATAACTCATAATCAGAAGAAAAATAAACCAATAAAAACAGACTCAGAAATGTCCCAGGTGACAGAATTAGTTGACAAGGACATTAAAATAGTTATTATAACTATATCCCATATATTCAAGAAGGAGGAAAGTATAAGCATGCTCAGGAGAGACAGGGAGGATATAAAAAAGATCCAAATCAAAGCTGTACAGATTAAAAAAACAATGGCTGAAATGAAAAATACACTGTATGGCATTAACAACAGATTAGATATGGCAGAATAAAAGATTAATGACTTTGAAGTATAATAATAGAAGCTACTCAGAATGACACAGAGAAAACAGACAAAAACAGTGAACAGACTATCAGTAAGCTCTGGGACAACATCATGCAGCCTCATATACATACAGAGTTGCTGAGGGAGAGGAGAGAGAAAAGAGAACAGAAAAATATTTCTTAAAAATGAACAAAAATTTTTGATGAAAACTATGAACCCACAGAACCAAGAAGCTCAATGATCTCTAAGCACAAGAAATAAGAAGAAAACTACACCAGGGCAGATCATAAGCAAACTGCCTAAAACCAATAATAAAGAGAAAGTCTTAAAAAGTAGCCACAGGAAAAAGAAGACACATTATGTACAAAAGAACAAAGATAAGAATGACAATAGACTCTCATCAGAAACAACGCAAGCCAGAACATAGTAGAGCAATATCTTTAATGAAAGAAAAAACCCCCATCAACCTAGAATTCTATACTCAGCAAAATGAAGAGAAAGGAAAGACTTTTTCAGACATACAAAAGCTGAAAGAATTCATCACTAGCAGATTTGCACTACAAGAAATGTTAAGGGAAGATCTTCAGGCACAAGGAAAATACCAGATAGGAACCTGGATCTACAAAAAAGAAAGAATAACACTGGAAATAGTAAACATGTCAACAAGCATAAAAATCTTTTTTCTTATTTTTAAAATCTCTTTGAAAATAATTGATTGTAGCATATTAAAGTGATTATAAACTATGACGAAGTGGGATTTATTCCCATTCTGCACGTATGGTTCAAAACACAAAAATCAATGTAATACAACAGATTAGTAGAATGAAGGAAAAAGCCCACATGATCATCTCAATTGATGCATAAAAAACATTGATAAAATTCAACCTTCCTTCATGATAAAAACACTCAATAAAGTAGGAATAAAAGGAAATATTCTCAACATGATAAAGACCACATATGAAAAACCCACAGCTAACATCATACTCAATGGTAGAAGGTTGAAAGCTTTTCCCCTAAGATCAAGAACACAACAAGGATACCCATTTTCATCACTCTTATTCAACACAGGATTGGAAGTTTTAATCAAAGCAATTAGGCAAGAAAAGCAATAAAAGGCATCCAAATTGGAAAGGAAGAAGTAAAATTATTTCTGTTCACAGATGATATTGATCTCATATGTAGAAAATCCTAAAGACCTAACAGAAAAAAACTGTTAGAGTTAATAAATGAATTCAGCAAAGTGGTAGGATAAAAATTCAACACAAAAATCAGTTGTCTTCTCACAAACAATTTGAAAAGGAAATTAAGAAAACAATTCCATTTATGATAGCATCATAAAACATAAATAGGAATATTTTTAACCAGGGAATAATTTAGGTACAAATTTAACCAAGGAGGTGAAAGACATGTACAATGAAAACTAGAAAGCTTTGCTGAAGGAATTAAAGAAGACATAAATAAAAGGAAAGACATTCTGTGCTCATGGATTGGAAGAGAATATTGTTAAAATGAAAATACTACCCAAAGTGATCTACAGATTCAATGAAATCTCTATAAAAATCCTAACAACAATTTTTGCAGAAAGAAAAATCCATCCTAAAATTCATATGGAATCTCAAGGGACCCCAAATTGCCAAAATAGTCTTGAAAAAGAAGAACAGAGTTGGAGGACTCTTGATTTCAAAACTTACTACAAAACTAAGTAACAAAAGCCATGTTGGACTGGCATAAGGACAGACACACAGACCAATGGAATAGAATAGAGAGCCCAGAAATAAACCCTCGCATATATGGCAAAATGATTTTTGACAAGGGTGCCAAGATCATTCAATGAGGAAAGGACAGTCTTTTCAACAATGATGCTTGGAAAATTGGATACCCACATGTAAAAGAATGAAATTGAACCCCTACCTTACACCATATACAAAAGTTAACTCAAAATTGATTAAAGACCTAAAGGTAAGAGGCAAATCTATAAATTTCTTAGAAGAATACATAAGGGAAAAGCTACATGACACTGGATTTGGCAATGATTTCTTGGATATGATACCAAAAGCACAGGCAAAAAATTAAAAAATAGATAAAGTGGATTTGGTCAAAATTTTAAAATT